ATAATTTTCAATTTTTTTGTGTATTGGTACTTAATAAAAATAGATAAATAATTTAATTTTTTTTTAAATTTTCGCAAAAAAAAAAAACATAAAACTTAGAAAAATGCCTAAGGGACCTCGGGTCCCTAGTCTACTATCTATGGTGATGCGACTCACTTATCTGATGATAAAAATTCTAGTATCTTTAACATTATTGCTAGTGGGACGAACGAGAGGAGAGAGATGTGCTATGAGAGTAACACCTTGAACCGAGAAGACTCTCTCTCTCACCAACAGAGAGTCAATATAACAAATGCACTGAGCCACATCCATAAGTGGAAAAGGTCGCCCACACATACACATAATGAGATATTGGGGTAAAGATATTTAAGAAACGTACTAGTACACTTGAGTGCGAGCATAAAACTTAGGATATCTATATTTTACGTAGATACTGAGTGAGCTAATCGACATCGATACCAACTAGCCTCTTTGAGAGATATACATATTTGTAAAGATGTCAGATTGAGGTAAAGAGAGTTATCTATCTATAACGCTATCACTTCAAGATTTCTAGATGCGTGTATTGCTTGATAAGCATAATTTGCATAAAAAATCAAAAAAATTACTAAAATAGTTTGTTACCAAAACGATACTTAGTGAATCTAGGTGGTCCTAAAGGGCGTATTACCCCTTAAGTTAAGCAAAAAGATTGCATCTCTCCATGAAAATTAAACTGAACCTAAACAGTTGAAATATTGTAACTAATAAAATCATTAAACAAAAGGTCTCTTACTAATGAAAAAAATTTACGGCGAGTTTACACTAAGGTCCTTGCAGTTGAGGCTTGTGTGCCAATTCCTTGGTCCTTCGCTGTTCACTTTATGATCCACATTATGAGAGCCTCTGAAATTTTGAAATCTGTCCAACTAAGGACAATTGAAAAAATATTTTTTATCTATTTTAAGGGCAAAATTGTCATTTGATAAAATAATAAACTATTTGGAACAAAATAAATTGTCAAAAAATTATATTCAAATTTTAAAATTATTTTATATCTCATCCAAAGATAAAGTTATATTAAAAATCGATAAATTGTTTATATTTTATATTTTATTTTTTTACCCCAAAATTGATTATTAGTTGTGTTTAGATGTATTATGTAATGGGTAGTTATTTTTGTTAATATTTTTCTGAAATGGTTATCATATACTTAGATGGTTGTATTTATTGTTAATAGATATTTTGGGATAGTTAATCACATAATAAATGGTATTAGGTTTTAATATATAATCGATATGTTTAATATATGAAAATATTTTTTAGTTTCGAATTTTTTAATTTAATGTTGGTTTAATAATGACAATCAAAAGTGCCATGTTCGACCTTTTGAAAAAAATAAAAAGCTAATTTAACAAAATAATATCAAAGGAAATATTTTAAAAAAAATTATTTCTACCTCGCTAAAAAAATTATATAAAATTATGTGTTTTTAACATTTTTTTTCACCAATTTAATTTCAGTTTTCTTAGAATGTTTTTTGCTAAAAAATGATTCTAAAAACAATCATGAGGAGAATTTTATAACCAAAAAAAGTTTCAAAACGTGTTCATTAAAAAAAAAAAGGGATTTATATTTCAAACAACATATAAGTTAACTACACAAAATAATTGTATGTACGAACCTTTGCCCTTCAAAATGGCGCAACAATGTCTTCAATTTGTCCTTATATGAAACGAGATTCAAAATTTAGTGTTTCAATATATATTCCAATTAAAAGGTCAAAAACATAAGGTGGATTTGTTTGGAAGGATTCAGCATAGGATAGAACTTAATGTCCATTTCCGAATTATTGTTCCGATTGTTTGATTCAAAAATTTTAACCGAGCTACTCTATCCAAATTCTTAGGGATCTGTTCTATCCCATGGGGGGTGCGAACAATCCATAAGATATAAACTCATGCCCATGGGGATTAGTAGGTGCGAATGACTCCATTTCTTCGCTCTTCATATTTTAACTATATATATTTTTTAAAAATACATTTATTAATAAATTATAATATAATAATATCTATATTTAATAATATTTATACTTATAAATATCTCTATAAAATTTACTTATATTACAATGATCATTTTACTTTATTAAATTATTTATTTTTAATAATCATAATGGTATTAATTATACATAGTAAAGTAAAATATAATTTAAATACAAATTAAAATAAATTTATGTAATTTTTTAAAAGGTCTAGTAAAAAAAGAAAATAAAATTTATAATTCAGATTTAATATTCCTATTATTTAGTAAATAATTCAAAAGGACAAAATGGTCTTTTGAGCATTTATCTTTCTCCATAATATCCTGAACAAATATAGGATTCAATAGAATAGTCCAATCCAGATATCTAATCCTATGACCAAACAAGCATAAGATACAAATCCAGTCCAACCAAATACTCTAGGGACAATGTATCCCACGGCCAACAGTCCGGTGGATTACAATCCCCCTTATACAGTCCGTCCAAACAAACACACTCCAAAGTGACACAAATCCCAAACTATAGAGCCTGTTAAGGTAATTCGCCTAAAAATTTATGAAAACATAATTAGTTGAAATAAAATTTGTGTTAATGACTCTTACCAATCTTCTTTTAATAACTCTTACTAGCGGTATCTATTGTCTAACCCAATTCAAATTGAGAAAACCATTCCTAAGCAAAATATACCCCAGAAGAAAAACCCCACTCACATTTCTGCCAACGCGAGAGAGAGAGAGAGAGAGAGAGAGAGAGAGAGAGAGAGAAGGAGAGGAGAGTTGAGTAATGGCGGCACAAGCAGAAGAACAAGACCCACACCACCAACCCACAACCGTAGAACAACTATGCGACCACCACCACTCTCAAAAGCTTTTACATTCCTATCTGGGTCTGAGCTTCTCTCTCTTTCTCTCCCTCATTCCTAAATCATCAACGTCCTTCCTCTAAACTCTCCAATCTCAAAACAGAAACCTCCGTCTCAGGCTTCACGAATTAGAACACCATCTGGGTCAGCTCCACTCACGGCGGAGAGAGGACTCCAAGGCCAATGCTCGGGTGGTGGAGATCTTCACTAGCCTGTTGTCCTTATTGGTCATTTCATTAGAAGATATTATTGAAACATAAATTTAATCTGTTAATAGTGTGTAATAAGAGTATTAGTAATGTGTAAATAAAATTGGCCTTTATATATTTTGCCATGTAGTGCGACATTTTTTATAAAAACAAATTGGATGAAAGTTAGTTTTACAAATAAAATAAAATAAAAAGAGTTATAAATGTGTGGGACTAAAGTGAAAAATATTTTAAAAGCCAAAAACAAAGAACAAAAATTACAAACAAAAATCTCAAAGTTTCTTCTAATAAAATAAAATATGAATTTTTAATTTTTTCAATTTAAATTATATTCTTTTAAAAAAAAAAATCAGTCTAAACCACCACCCTATCCTATCTCAATTTAATAAAATTGAAGAAAACAAATAATATTTTAGTCATTAAACTTTTTGTTGAATTTAATGATTTGTTTTTGTGAATTGTACTAATAAAAATAGATAAATAATTTAAATTGAAAATAAATCAAAATTTAATTTAAATTAACAAAATTAAATTTGAACTTTTTTTTAATACTTCAAAAAAAAAAAAAAAACCCCTTAGAAAAACCACGCGTACATTTCCCCCGACGAGGAACAGTCCGGATCCTCTAGGGTGAAAAGCCTACAGTCATCTCCTAGAGTGAACAATCCAACGGGTGACATCAAAACGACGTTGTTTTGGTGAGTACTTTGAAGAAAAAAAAATCAATCCATGGCTCTCCTCTCCTTTTCTCTCTCTACCTTTTCTTTTCCATTTTCTTGCTCAAGAAAACCATTCAAAATCAAGAAATCTCACAAATCCATCTCTGAAAATCAATCCATGGCTCAAAGTTTCTCAGATTTTAGTATCAAGACCTCGGCTAGTGGTCCACCAGGTGTGGAACCCTTCCAAGAAACAGAGCTCAACCAGCTTGAAACTTGGGCTTCATGGTGATCTGAATCTCTAATGCCTAAACCCATTTGGATTTGACCTTCCATTTCGCTGGTGAGGGCATCGTTGCCGCCCGCCGCCACCGTGGCCATCGACAGAGTGAGAGAAGAAGGCGAGAGGTTCCCACGTGAAGAAACAGAGGACTCGTTGTTGTTGTTGTTAGTACTGTTGGGATCTTCATTTGACCAGGCATCAATGAAACCCCTAGGAGTCTCCAGATCAGGGTTGAGAAACAAATTGCACTCATCGGCATAGGGAATCAGATTCAGAGACTCGTCGATGCAATCTTGATTGAAAATCATCTGGGGAAAAGATAAGACAGAGCATTCAAAGTTTCTTTGAAAATCACAGCAATGACTACCCAAAGACGATGATCCACCATGAATGAACAATGAGCTCTGAGAATCAATCCATGGCTCAACCCAGAAAGGTTTAGTACCCACACGACTCAACCTGGTTTTATTGATACTAAAATCCATGGATTTTAGTACCCCAGAAAGATTTCATGGCTCAACCTTTCTGGGTTTGTTGATTTTAGTAACCATGGATTGACTCAACCTTTCTGGGTTTTGTTTCAATCCATCATTTGATTTGTGAGATTTCTTGAGTTTGAGCCATGGATTGATTTTCAGATATGAGTTTGTGAGACTTCTTCTATTACTTGAGCCATGGATTGATTTTCAGAATGGGTTGATCTTCAAAAAGGTAGAGAGAGAAAATGAGAGGAGAGCCATGGATTGATTTTTTTTTTCTTCAAAGCACTCACCAAAACGACGTCGTTTTGGTGAGGTTTAATGTCAGCCGTTGGATTGTTTACTCTAGGAGATGACTGTAGGCTTTTCACCCTGGAGGATCCCGACGCGACGAGGAAACCATTCCTCAGCAAAATATGCAGAAGACAAACCACTCACATTTCCCCAACGAGAGAGAGAGAGAGGAGAGAGAGAGAGAGAGAGGAGAGTTGAGTAATGGCGGCACAACCGGAAGAACAAGACCAACACCACCAACCCACAACCGTAGAACAACTCTCCGACCACCACCACTCTCAAAAGCTTCTACATTCCTATCTGGGTCTGAGCTTCTCTCTCTTTCTTTCCCTCATTCCTAAATCATCAACGTCCTTCCTCTCAACTCTCCAATCTCAGAACAGAAACCTCTGTCTCAAGCTTCTCGAATCGGAGGACCAGCTGAATCAGCTTGAGGAGAAGCGCCTCCTCCGTCAGATTGATTCCGGCGAGGAGGAAATCACAGCCCTCCGTTCGACGGTGGAGGAGCTCGAGAAGTCCGAGGATGAGATGAGGCAAAATGTTGAAAAACTCAGGAGAGATATTGAGGAGAGGGATCGTGAGATGTTGAATTTCATGGCGACGAGGTCGGAGTTCGAGGAATTTTCC